AAAAAAAAAAAAAAAAAAAAAAACTTTTCGTTAGTTACTGCTTTATTCCAATAAATAAAAAAGTAAAGATTTGATCTGTCGATTTATCTTAACAATAACACAATTTTTAACTTTTTCTTAAAGACAAGAAAACTTTATTTATTTAGTAGCTAATTAATAATTTTGAATACTTTTTTTTCCAATAAAAAATGTCTTTGAAAAAAGAATGAAGTAAGTTGCCAAATTTTAAGGCTGTCAGTATTTTCAGAAAAATGCATAGTAGCTTTAAGAAAAAATAATCTTTCAAAAATATTTAGAATCTTAAAATTTGCAAGTGGTAATGAGTAAGACGAACAAAAACATTACCTAATGAATAAGGAATTCGTTGCATGGTTAACATGCAGGAATCTCTTAATAGAGGGATCTTATGAGAGTGCTTTTGCGAGAACTATGCCAAAGTAATTAAAACGATCTTATCTGGAGCTAAATATAGGGTTCGCACTATGGAATAATATTCTATTTTCTTTTTGATTAAGTTTAATTTTATCTTAAAATAAGGCATGTTTTTAAGTCAAGTAAGACAAGTTATTTTCTGTTTATTGATGTGAAAAGTAAGAATTATTGAAAAGATAAATAAATGAATTAATTAATGAAAACGGTTTTGAAAAAAAGATTCAAAATGGCGGGAGAAATCGTCAGAGAAGAACAGAAGGAGCTGAGTCTTGTGAAATGAATATACCTGGTTAATTGAGAAAAGTGTGTATAATGATATTTTCATTTCTAGCAAAATAATTATCCGGTGGAGACAAAAAGTTTTGTTTTAAAAAACCAACTCAATACTTTCTGCTTCTAAAAATATCATTGAATATTTCACAATGTCTACAAAATATTTGTACGGCAATGGCGCAGAAAAAGATCTCCATTTACACAAAGCACAGTGACAAAAGCTATTGACATTGAACTATTAGTAAAAACAAGTTTGTACTTATGGAAATGAAACTGCAATTCTTTCTAATAGTAATTACAAATCCTTTTTTTTTTTAAACTATTAACTACATGAAATGAAAATTTTACATGAACATATCTGCCAACCATTACAAAAGATTAAAAAGCAAATCGAATGATGTTTTTTTTGTGTGTATGTTTATAAACGGAATACGAAAAACACACACTGTTCATTTTCTTTTAGATTAAAAAATATTTTAGCATTTCAGAGAATTCTAAATATTTTTCATTGTAGTTCAAAAAAACCATGTAATGTCAGTAAAAAATTAGTTTTAATTAATAAATATTATTGTCTTTATATTTTTTTGAAAGACAGAACAGTAATATAGCTTTAAAATATGATAGGAAAAAAAATGGAATTTAAAACTTACAGAAAAAAAAAAGATAAGTTTTGATACAAAAGGAAATATTTTTTCCCTCTTGTAATAGTTAATGTAAACTTCCGCATTTATTATAACATACCAAATTTTAAATATTATTGCTGTAAAATAGCTAATCCCTTAAAATGAATTTTAAAGGAGGGCGTTTCAATTAAAAAAAGTAAATTTTATAATGAGATATTC